GTCCCCGGCGTTGCGGGTCTCGGTGCTGGCTGGGGACGCTGCCCGGGCCCCGCGTTACAGACGGGGATGCTGGGAGCCACCGAGGCGGCAGTGACATGTCGATGGCAGGCAGCTGCCTGGGAGGAGAGCTGTGGGAATGAAACCTGCTCCTGCTCTCTCCGCCTGGTCCAACGCTGCCCTGAAAGGATTCCTTTTAGTTCTGCGCAATTCCCTCGTTCCTCTGGTGTTTCGGGCCAGGGGGAGGGGGGGGGAAGAGGTTTCCCCAGCTGGGGGGCAGCCCCCCAAAGCAGCTGTGTGCTCTGGGGGATGCTGGCGCAGGGAGCAGTGAGGCCCCACTGCCCGCATGCCCCCAAGCTGCAGGGGATCTCTCCAGGGCTCAGGGGGTGTCTCAGATCACGGCTTTCCACCTGCCTCCACCGCAGCCCTTCCTCTGAGCAAGGATTTTGCTGTCACCCCCAGGCGGAGGATGCTGGGCTCGTCCAACAGCCCTTGATGGGCATCCTTCTCGGAAGGACCCAAAGGGAAGCAGGAAAGTGTCTCCTACTCCCCATGTCCCATAGCAGCCGGCGCCATGCCACAGGCGCGGGCAGCAGCCAAATCCGCAGAGGGCAGGGATGACAGCTGACAGGGTCATGTGCCCCTGTAAGGCAGGCAGAGGTCTCATACCTTCTCACGTGGCGTTTGCTTGCTGTGCCAAGCCCAGCTCTTCTCCAGCACAGCAGTGGGCACGTGCCAGGAGAGGACGTTCACCCTGCCCGGTGCTCGCAACTGCATCACCCGCTTGTTAACTGGACCCTTCCCCAGAAGAGGCTCGGGCTGTCCTGCCAGCCCCGCTCCCTGCTCCCGCTGCAGGCACCTGGGGCTGCAGCCTGCGAAGGGAGCGCCTGGCACGTCGCAGTCTGGCTAATGGTTGGGTGTGGATGTTGGCACTGGCTGGGCAGGCAGTGGAGGGCAGAGGCAGAGCCTCCCTCCCTGTGCCGCTGCTTGTGCCGTCTCGATTTTATCTTGCCAAGCCATCTCTATGCTGCGTTGGCTCTTCACCTCCTCTGCAGCCTCCACAGGCAGGCGGCCTGGCAGCATCCCTCCCTGCTCCCAGCTGGGGTCTGGGTCCAGCCGAGCTGTGTGCTGGGCTGGTGTGGGCTGTGCTGTGCCTCTCTCTCAAGGCCTCCTGCCTGGGACTGAGCACTATCTGTGATGCTTTGGGAGCTGCTCCATCCTCCTCATTATCAGTTAGAGCAGAGGATGTTCCCTGAGAAGGAAATGGCATGAATCAGCTCTGATTTTTCAAGCTCTCCACAGGCAGAGAGGAGAGAGGAGCAGGCTGTGCTGGGCAGGGCATGGGCATTGTGCAATGGGGGCTGCCAGCGTCTCTGGCAGAGGCACCCACAGCTTTGCCCACTTCTCCCCCCATCCCCGTCACTTCTAAGCCAGTTCTCCGTGCCACAGAAACGTCTCTTGTTCAAGCACTGCGAAAACACTCTTTGTACTTTGAATAGGACTCTTGAACACAAGGCAATGTGCCAGGCACCAACAGCCAAGGCAGGGAGGGAACAGCTAGCCTTGGCAGCGAGGAGCAGGGGCAGAGGTGGCAAACCCCACTCTGCCCTCGGGGACCAGCCCCTGCACAGTCCCAGGCTGGGTGAGCCTGCAGCTGGGGCTGCCCTTGCCTGCACCCTGGCCCTGCACGTGGTCGTTTGGGCACGTGTGTGTGGCAAGTCCTCGCCTGCCACGTGTGGGTGCCTGCCCTCCACAGCCAGCTCCTGGCTTGCAGTGCTTTATGGTTTTATGGTTTTGGAGCATCATCCACACCTTGCTTGTAATGCAGATGGCTTGAGTATCCCTGGGGAGGGAGCAGGGGCACTGAGCTGGGTTAGGCACTGGAGCACCAGTCCCGAGGCTGCCCTTGCCACAGCCTGTCCCTAACCCCCTTGCCACCCCCTGCAGAGTGTGCCGCCAAGATGGCAAGCGCCTGTGGGGCAGACCCCGATGCCGAGGACGCAGCTGAAACTGAAGAGGCCATCTACGAGGAGGTGAAGCCCTGCAACAGGATGGAGCTGAGCCAGCAGCTGGCCGTGGAGGAGCTCATCACCACTGAGGCCAGCTATGTCCACAACATCCAGCTCTGCGTGTCGGACATCCGGGCGCACCTCCAGAAGAAGCAGGTGAGATGGGGTACGTCTCCCCACCCAGGGGCTGGGGACTGTGGGGTGAATCTGTCAAGAGCTGTGAGATGCCCAGATCATTCCAGGGAGGTCACACATGCTCACCTTACACCTTCCTGGGCTCCCCTGATCCGCCAAGGTCTTGAATTAGATGGACATTGGGTCTGACCCAGTGTCCTATGGCTGTAACCCTGCATCTGTAACATGAAAAGGCCTCATTGCCCAGCTCAGGAGCACAGCCAGGTCTCAGCATCTGCAGTGCCTCCTGAAACAGAGCACCGCTCCAGTTCCTCAGGTGTCGCATGGGGCAGCTGGGAGGACACGAGTGCTCAGGAGGGCGAGTGCCTCCAGAACACACGATCCACCTCTGTCTGTTGTATTCGGCTTACCCTGGGGCATCTTTGTTCCCTTCAGCTGCCTGATCTTGACCTGGAAGGACTTTTCTCTAACACAGACGACATCCTCCATGTCTCCAGACGGTTTCTGAAGGGTCTCGAGGCCACGGCCACTCAGGAGCACGAGCAGCTGCTCTGCATCAGTAAGTGGTGCAGCACAGAGAGCTGACCCGCGCCCATCCATGCCTTTGCTGGTGCTGGCAGTGCCACTGCCCAGCGCTGTGCCTGGGTGCAGCCCCCAGCCCACCCACCCTGACACCTCCTGCACCTCCCTCAGCTCTGGGAAGCGCTGCTGCCTGCGCACCACCATCCATGGGCAGCCACCCACGCTCACCCCACAGGGGCAAGGCAGACCTGCCCAGCCTGCAGAAAGTGAGGTGGGGGGCAGCATCAGGCCCAGCTTGGCAGAGGTGGCTGTGGAGCAGGGCACTGCCCCAGCACGTTTGGCTGGCACTGCTCTGCTGGCTTCACCCTTCAGGCAGGCTCTGCCTTTCTCTGAGGCAATAGGAAAGGACCATCCTTTCCAGCCTCACTCTCCTTCTCCAGGCACCCTGTTCCAGGAGTTCAAGGAGGAGATGGAAACCGTCTACAAGATCTACTGTGCCAGCTATGAGCATGCCCTCCTGCTGGTGGAGAGCTACCGCAAGGACCCCAGGCTGCAGGAGGAGATCTTGGAGACCCTGAATGCAACAGTGTAGGTACCTGCTGCTGAGGCAACCACCTTCCTCTCCCTGTTTTACCTACTGTCCTGGCCCTTCTGCTCTCTGGACAATCTGCCTGCACGGGTTCGTGCCACCAGGCTGAGTGTAATATCACAGCCATCAACTTTGTGGCATTGCCTGGTGTAGTCCCTGGCAGACTGTCCTGCATCCTTGTGGCCACTTGCCCCAAGGGCACTAAAGGTTGGTGGTCTTTTATGGTGGACCCCAAAACAAGGGATGGGGTGGCACCCGCAGCTCCTGCCTGCCCCACAGCCTGAGAGGCTGTGCCCACGGAGAGCACACATTGCCCAGCTTGACTAGAGACACAGGCTGGCCCCGGGAGACCTGCCAAACCCCTCCTGAACTACTGAGGGGGTCACAAACGCTGTTGGAGCCAGGAGAAGCACGAGTGGCAGTGGAAGAGCTGCTGGGATTTGCTGCTCTCTGTTTCAGGGCACAGGCTACGTGACTCCCAAATGAGCGATACCTTGTGCGCAGGTAGAAGGGGAGTCCTGCCTGCAGCCTGCCTGCACTTTGCCCACACCCTCCCTCTCCATTGCCCCAGAGCAAGCGCCGATCCCGTGCCTCCTAGCTAGACAAGCGCAGCACTGTTCAGGGAGGCAGGGTGCCCGCCCGGGGCTGGCACTGCCTTCAGGGCTGGTGGGGACAGCGTCCCCCTGCCAGCGCTCCTGGGGGCGGGTGGCCCCGCAGCTGGCAGGGAGCAGGGATTCACAGCCAGAACCACCCCCCAGCTGCTGGGCACAGCTTGCCTGCAGGTCCAAGGCAGCAGATCTCCCCTGCAGCTGGACAGGTGCTGCTTTCTCTCCAAAATGTTTGCAGAGAAGCTGGGAGGAGCAGCAAGGCAGGAAGGCAGATCTCCATGCCGACCTCGAGCAATTCCCCTCTCCATCAGGCCTCACACGGGTGCGTCAGACCTCAGCTTCTTCCTGGTGATGCCCGTGCAGAGGGTCACCAAATACCCGCTGCTGCTGGGGAAGATCCTGGAGAACACCCCCACCAGTGCCAGCGCCTACCCGGCCCTGCAGGCAGCCGTCCGTGCCATGACCCAGGTCAACGCCAACATCAACGAGTACAAACGGCGCAGAGAAGTAGGTGAGCAGGCAGGGGGCACGGCGTCTGGGAAGCCCCAACCCAAGCCCAGTTGTCTTCCCTTGGTGTTGTGCTAATTCCTACTTAAGTCAGTTCAAAGCTTTCCTGCCCTGCACCCATCCTGCCCAGTGGAGCCGCAGAGTTGTGCAGGCAGCTCCTGGCACCGCTCTGGTCCTACAAATGCCACTCTGGGCAAGACCTGAAGGCTGCAGGAGAAGGGTGGCATGGGGGGGGCTGAGCACAAAACCGGTCTGCCTGCATTCCTGGAGCTGGGGAATGAAAGGAACAGTCCTGCCCTTGGGATAGGAGAAATCAGGCTCCCCACAAACAGGAGCTTGCTCTTCTTTTTGGTTTTCATAGTACTTTCCTCCAGGCTGCCCTTCTTTGATGTGGGTTGTGCTTATCCTGTTAATCACGACTTGTCAGCTCCGGGCCTCGGTGCTGCTCACCCGCATTGCCTGCTCAGGCTGCTGAGGATGCTGCCCTGAAGTTTCCTCTTCTGATCTTTTTTCCTCCCACCTCGTGTGCCCTCACCCGAGGCAGCAACCAAATACAACAAGGCCGAGCACCTGACGCTGCGGGACCGCTTCGCGCGCCTCAACACGCACTCCATCGCCAAGAAGACCACACGGCTGAGCCGGCTCTTCATGCACGAGGCCGGCATCGTGGCCAAGGTGGGCAGCCCTCACCCCACCGCCTGCCGACCCACTGCCTCTCCTCGAGTCATTTCTGGGCCTTTCCGCTGCCTCCCAAGCGGAGCCAACGTGGCCAATGCTGACACCCAGTGGCCCATGCTGTCACATGAGCCACAGTCTCATTTTCGAGCAGCCTAAGGGTGGCTCCTAGTCCCCAATCCCAAGGACCAGCAGGGTAGGAGAGATGCAGGTACACACCTTGCTCCCTGCATCAGAGTGCTGCAGGGGAGTGCTTTGGCCCCCAAAGGACCCACAGGATCCTCAGGCACCCCAGCAACAGGAAAGACACCCTGGTGTTCCCCAGCACCGCAACCACTCCAAAAACTGTGCGTCTGCATGCATCCCAAGCACCCTAGGTCTTGGCCCTTTTCAGGTTCCTGGAGCCTCTCGGAGTCTCCCCTGCCTGTCCCCAGCACTGTGAGCTTCAGGCAGGTGCCTGGCTGCTTTTTACGTTAGCACCCTGTGAGGAGCAGCAGCCCTGCCCGAGGCATTGCCCGTGCTGGGGATAAGTTGCCCCTTGCCTTGCAGATGGAGGACAGGGAGTACGATGACCTGGAGGAGAAGTTCCAGTGTGTGGTGTCCAGCGTGGCTGTACTGAAGGAGAATGTGGCATCCTACCTCGGCCATTTAGAGGTAAAACCCTGATAACTTGCAGGGGGTGGGCCACATCCAGGCCTCAGGACCTGCTTCATGGGGTTGCAGAATACTTTCAAGCCCTATGGAAACCAGTGTCAGCTGGGGATGTTCAGTGACTTGCATCTCTCAGCTAAAGACGTTGTACTGGGGCCTTGCCCCGCATCCAAGGATCACTCAGGTCCAGCAGAGCTTAAAACAAAGTCAAAGCTTCGTTGATCCAGTCTGAGCTGGTTATCATTTGAGAATAATTGGTCCTTAAACGGATCATTATTTCAAGGCATTAAATAGCTGAGAAGGCTAAGTGTTGTTCAGCCTGAGAATTCTCGCATAACAGGTATAAGGCAGAAGTGTCCCCATGTCAGGGAAACAATGAACTTCCCTTCTGAGATGACCCGGCTGAGCAGCTGCTGTGATTTTCTCATGGAAATCCCTTGGGGCATCTGAGGGAAATAAAAGTATGAGCAATGGCCAAACTTGAAATCCCCAGACACTATATAATCAGGAAAGTCTCAGGAAATGGCAGAGGGTTCAGAAAGCAGCAATTCAAGGGCTAGAGACACCTTGTCATGAAAATATTGACAAGGGCTCCCCATATAGGATTGGGAAGGAGGAAAAGGGAACAGAAAGACTCCCTGTAGCCCAAAGAGTGGGTAAAATAGGATTAGAAGAAAAAACATGAGGATGGCAATTTGTATGACAGTGAGATGTGGCATCAGCTAAGGGAACAGGGTGTGACCATTCCTTGGGACATCGAGGGCTTCTGGGGACCTGCCTGGCACTGCTCTTCAGTAAGCTGCATCTCTGTAAGCCAGCTTCTTGGCTTCAGCCAGGACATTAAGTGTCTGCAAATAGGCTGGGCAGCCTAGAGAATAAGCTGTGGTTAGGAGTCATAATGGGGCTTGGATGCAGCTTCAGAGGAGCTGCTGGTGGGGGAAGGTGGGGCTGCATGCATGCCACGTCTCTCTCCCTCTGAAAGCTTCTCAAAGACATCCTGAGGAGCTGATGAAGACATGTTCTCATAGGGCAGAGACAGCCTGGCCTCTGTGCTGGCTGGCAGTTCCCTATTGTGCATCTGTCTGTACCAGTGCCTCCACCACAAGGAGAGGCAAATCTTGGCATGTACAAGATCATCACAGCCAGTTCTGCTTGCGTAAGAGCCCCTGTAGGGCTGAGGAAAAGCACACAGGTCTCAGAGCTGCCGCCTTCTGCTCAAAGGGTCAATCCCTTTCCCTTTCTATATTTCTGTCTCCAGTCCCTCCTGTGCTAAGGAAGACTACAAAGAAAGGGTCTTCTAAACATGACCACAGGCAAAAAGACAGGATTTAGGACAGAGATCAGGGCACTCCAAAAGAGGCCCATGGCAGCCATGGTTGACAAGAATCAAACAGAAACTGCTCCTGCTGCTCCAGGACTGACTGCAGGAGCAGCACTCCAAGAGGCAGCAAAGCTAAGCCCAGGAGGAGCCAGAGGCCAGGCTTCCCTTGGCACCAGCAGCAGGCTGGGGCTCTGGGAGCTCAGTGCTCCCTTCCCTGGGTCTGGAGGTTGTGGGTCAAAATCTACCTCCAGGTAGGAAGGAGGCTGCTGCCCACAGAGTTAACAGTAGAGCAAAGCCTCTCAGAGGAGGGTGTCCACCCAAACCATCCCTAGCTGCTTTCCTTTCCCACCAGCCTCACTCTCCACCCAGAGGCAGGGGGAAGATTTTGTACACAAATACAAGAAATTCCACAAAGCTACTGGACCACCAAACCCAAGTGTCAAAGCACCAGGCAACATCAAGCTGGGGCAGACAGCCTGGGGCCACAGGGCAGCCTTGGCCATCTTGCTGGGGTAGGAGTGCTTTTGCAAGCCAGTGCATGACTCTGCTCAAGGGGAGAGGTTTGTTAACACCTGCGTGAGCTCCCTGGCTTGCAGACAAGAGTAGCCCAGAGCATCAGTCCCACTGGGCTGCTAGCACAGAGCACCCAGACTGGGACATTGGCATGTCTTTGGGAGCACAGGGATCGGTTACAGATGGGTTAGCTCGTGTTGGGCAGCTTCTGCAGATCAGGTCTGATGGCTTTCTCCCTTTCAGGCGTTCCTGTTGCCCACCCCACACAAGTGTGAGCTGCAGATCAATGAGGGACCTGCCCAGCAGTACCAACGCTTTGCAGAATACCTCCATTGCACTGTTTTCCCAGAGTTTGTGAGTGCTCCTTCCATGTATATCTCCTTCAGGGTCACAGCCAAGCATTGCCAGGTTGCAGTAGAGGCTGGCTCAAGGGCAGGGTAGCCAAGAGCTGAGGGTTCCCCAGAGCAGGCAGTGTCCTCACCGATAGACACAGTCTCCTGGGGCCTGAACACGAAGGGGCAGGTAACAGGGTCCATCAGCAGTCCCAGACACTTGAATTGAAGAACCAATCCCAGGGTCCATCCAGGAAACAAGGAGACAGGGGCAGAGACATGGCTACAACACAGCTCTAAAGTCCATCCAGGGCTGGAGACAAGCTGCAGTGTCCATCTGAGGGGTCCATCCAGGAGCTGAGCTACCTACAGCAGAGGTCCAAGGTCCACCCAGGAGACAGAAGCAGAAATCAGCTCACCCACAGCAATAGTCAAGCAGCAGCCCAAGGCCCTTCAATGGGCTGTGGGCAGGGGTGTGGGTGGAGGCCCCAGGTGAGGCTGGTCTGGGCCATTAAAGACTATTTGTGCCTTCAGGGCCCTGACATGTTCATGGCCAGCCATGCAGGCAGGGCTGCAGCGGAGCAGAGGATGGTGGGAAACCAGGCGTTCTGCTTATTTGACTCACACAAGGCATTTGCTGCCAAACCCCAGTCCAACCTACCCACAGCTTCTGGGCATCCGTACTCGCCTTTGGGAGCCCAAGAGTCCCCCATCTGTCTCCTTCCACTGCCCCTGCTTGCTTCTCCAGGACTCCCTCTTAGGTGCTGACTGCCACCGTGAACGCAGTCAGGGAGGTTTTCCAAGCAGTGAGGAGTGTGGCAGGGCAGCCTGAACCCCACACCTGGATGCTGGCATCCCCAAGGAGCACCAGCATGGGGAGGGAGGGTAGCTACGTGGGATAACCACACAGACCCTGGACTGAGGGCCTCCGTCAAACCAGGACACTGTCACCTGCATGGCACAGTCACTGCAGCACCCCCGTTGGCCCATGGGACCTTGCGCCTGAGGGTCCTACCTGACCATTTGCATGGAGCACAAGTTTTGAATCGTGGCATGCGTGACTGCTCTCTACCAAGGGTTTGCTTTGGTTGGCGTCCTGTGTGCCTTCAGGGAAGGATGCCTCAGATGCTCCCCACTCTGCACAAGCCCTTCAACAGGTCCCCAAGCCTTTTCTCCTGTGTAAGACAGTGCCCCATGCAGACAGCTGGGCCTGTCTGGGGGGCTCACGTGGAGAATTGGGTTCTCTTGCCCCACAGAAGCGACGGCTAGACAGGCTGGTCTGCCAGCCCCTCTGCAGCCTCTCAGACATGCTGGTGGGGCCACAACAGCTGGTCAAGAAGCGCCTGGACAAGCTGCTGGACTATGAGGAGATCCAGGAGCGGAAGAGCGAGATGGGCAGCGTGACATACGACGAGGAGGCAGCCATGAACACCTACCTCGCCATCAACGCCCTGCTTGTGGCTGAGTTCCCGCAGTTCAACCAGGTGGCTCTGCAGCTCCTGGGGGAGATACTGTGCTCCTTCAGTGCCCTGCAACGGGACTTGGCTGCCCAGGTCATGCAGCAGGCACCAAAGGAGCTAGAGCAGGTGAGAGTGACCCCTTGGCCTGTGTGCCCAAACCAGCGCACGTGCTGAGCCAGACCTGCCTTCTTCAGGCTTGGAACATCACTTGGACGTCAGGGCACTGAAGGTTTGCTGTAGCCCAAGCCTGCCCTTGCAGACACACAGCTCCCTGTCTAGCATTTGTAAGGGATCTCCCCTTAGGCTGGGGAAAGCCAAACTGTCTCTTCTTCAGTGCCAGGAACTGGCCTGCTCTCTCTCTGAGGACACCACTGGTAATCTGTTGATGTGTTGCCTGAGAGATCAGTGTTAACTCTGAGCTCCCGAGAGCTCTGTGCTGGGAAGGCAAGGAGGAGAAGGACAGCTCCTAGCCTGAGGAACGAGCATCCCTAGAACCTCCATCCCCTGGGAATTATCTCCTCACTGCATGGCACTCACTGAGCCTGACATTTGCAAACGTGGTGGGTCAGGCCAGTCCAGAGCCCTGGGGTAAAGCATGGCCCTGGCCTGACCCATGACCAAGATGAGAACAAGATGCAGCCACATGGAAGTATCCCGTCAGGCACTGCTTGTACATACCTAGTCATGAGGGTGGATTCCCCTTGCTCAGTCTGGGATGCTTACGCTGCAGACTTCTACCCCAGAGCTACATCCACCTGTCTCCCTTTTTAGTCAGGTGGAAAGGACTCGGCTTGGGGCAGGACAGCAGGACCCAGGGATTGTTGTACTGGGCTGGGTACAGGCCAAGAGCCCTGCACGGGACTGCCCTGCCCAGGGTAGGTGGCTCAAAGCCAGAGAGCAGCAGCTCTCCTTGCCAAAGGGAACCACATCCTAGGTGCAAGATGCATCTTTAGTGGCCAGGTCTGTTCTCTTGCTTTCTCACCTCTTTTCTAACTGTTCCTTTTCTTTTGACCCTACCCACAATTCTTCCCCTCCCCAGGGCCCTCTCTGATCTCAGGGTCTGTCTTCACAGATGCCCCATGGCCGTATGCCTCTGCCCAGTTTCTGGAAGATGGTGGAAGACACCTTGCAGCAGTCTGGTGCTCAGCTCCGTACCTTCTGCCAGACATTTGAGACTGTCGCACCAAGCCCTGTGACACAGGTAGGAGCTGGGAAGGGGGTGTCTCAGTCCAGCTGGACTGTGGCTTCGCAGTGCAGAACATCTCCTTGGGGTGGAGGCTGGCTCAGAAAGTGGCACGGGGGGGTTGCCACAGCCACAGTATTTCCCCCAAGCCACCAACAGCAGCTAGCTGGGAATAACCAGGGATGAAACAGTCTTAGCTCTTCTGGTTCTAGACACTCGTCTCCAAACCATGAGGTAGAGCAGATAGGGTGAAGGAGTTTCTCATCTAACCTCTCACTGGGATGTGATCCTGCAGAAAGGAGAGTACATGTACATGGAGGGCCTCAATCTTCTGCCTGTCTCATCAAGTGCTCCTGTCTTTCTTGCTCCCCACCAGCCTCTGAACCCTGCTGAGGAACGGAAGGTCCTTTCCCTTGTGAGCAAGCACGGCCCAGACAAACTTTACCAAGTGACAAGCAACATCAGTGGCAGCAAAGACTTGGACCTGACCTTGCAAAGGGGACAGATTGTAGCTCTGCTGCAAAGTGTGGACACTAAGGGGAACACGAGCAGATGGCTGGTGGATGCTGGAGGTACTGTGAGCACTACAGGGAGCCTCTCCCCGCCTCGGCACCAGGGTCAGAAACCAAACCCGAACCACTTCCTCATCTTGGATGAAACAGTGGGCCATTGCCTCCCGAGTCCTCCCTTCCAGGGTTTGCTCAGTCCAAACCCACCTCTGCTTTGCCAGCTGCACCCATAGCCATTAGCTGTAAAGTTCAGGTTTCCCTATGAGGGAGCGCTCGTGGCTCATCATGGCTGGGAAAGGAGAATCCTGTGCACGCAGAAACCACTTGAAACCCCTTTTTGTGGGGTTTTGCTGCTGGATATCCCCTAGCGATGGACCGCTTTGAACAGGGCTGCTGTGCCATGCCAGGCAACAGCCGAGTTGTCATTCCTCTCTCCTCCAACCAGTCCTACATGTGCCAGGTAGCGGGGCTCCATGACCTGTGTGTGTGCATGTCCTCCAGGTCCCCGAGGGTTTGTGCCTGCTGGAAAACTCCAGCCCTATTGTCCGGTACAAAGCCAGCAGCCTGGGATGCAGATGCCAGCCCTGGAGAGCAGCACAGAGGGAAGGCGACATTCATATGCAGCACCTGAAGCTCCCAGGCCCCAGGTGGCCGCCTTCACCCCAGCTTTCCAGGTGAGAGTGGGGGACACCCCCCAGGGCCATTCCTAGCAACCCCACCAGCTCCATGCTAGTCCCTGCGTGTGCAGCATGTGGGTGGGAAGGTGGACCTGCTTTTCCAGCACACACGTGGTCATACATGTGCAGCCACGTGCCTAGCAGGGGAGTGTCACAGCCCCCGGCCAAGTACCCCGTGAGGCTGGTGTCTGCCTTGCAGGGACCAGGGGTGGACCGAGCAAGAGAACTGTGCTCGGTGGGGTCCCCAGTGTCCCTCCATCACTGGCAGTACCACGCTGCCCTCTTGGAAACAACCTCCATGTCCCTTCTAGGTCCTGCCCTGCCAGGTATGTCCTTTCCCCCTTTGACTCTTGCATCCAGCAAGGGCTTCCTCCCTCCTTCCCCTGCCTTTCACAGGTGGTTGCCGGCTTCTCCTTCGCAGCCAGGAGTCCGCAGGAGGTGAGCCTCCAGGCAGGGCAGCCCGTGGTGGTGCTGGAGCCGCACGACAAGAAGGGGAGCAAGGAGTGGAGCCTGGTGGATGTGAACGGCCAGAGGGGCTATGTGCCCTCCAGCTACCTGGTGACAGTCCCTCTGCAGAAGCCCATGGGCTGGAGCTTGCCTGTGTGAGCCCGGCCAGCCCGGCACCCAAGGGCACAGGCTTCATTGGATGAGAGCCGTCTGCTTGGCACCCGAGGGCTCGTCACGGGCGATGCTGGAGGGGGGCGGCTGTGGTGGCCCCAGGCTGGGAAGGTGGTGGGAAGCGGGTGGCAGAATACAGCCCGGGGGATGTGGGTGCAAGCGACGGCAGTCAGGAGGCATGTTTTGATGGGTAGGCGTGAGGGTGCCATGTCCCATACGTGTTTGCACAAAGGAGAGGCGTAGGAGGGAGTGAGGGCAGGTGGCTGCAGTTTTCTAGGGATTTGCTGAAATCCATATCAGTGACAAAAGTGTCCCTAGGGGTGACGAGGCAGCATCGTCCCCAGTTAGATCAGGACCAAGCTGCAAAGAGTGCAGTGCTGCAGAGGGGGTCTTCAGCCTGGCACGGAGCATCTGGGGCTCTTGGGAAGAGGCTCTCGGGGGAATCGCTGGTTTGAGTGCGGAGGCCGATGCGGAGCAGCCCCAGAGGCACGGCTTCTCACCGGGGTGTCACACCTGCCTGGGTGCCCACCCCGCCGTGCCATTGGGGTCCCTTCGGCAGCACAGCCTTCGCGTCCTGCTAAAGGGCACGGCAACGTCAGCGTGCGCCCGGCCGCACCGGCCGCGACGGATGGGTGCCGGGCTGAGTGCTGTGTGTCCTCCCCAGCCCTCCCGCCCACCGAGCATCGCTCCCGGCCTCAGTTTCCCCCCCCGCCGCCCCGCAGCGGGGCTGATGCCGCTGACCCATTTGAGAGGCGCTTTGAGCTCCGGTGCCGAGGAGCGCTCTGTACACCACCGATGCTATTTCGTGTGCCGGACAGGCTGACATTATAATGGATTATTACACCGTCTGTCCGCCCCACCCGTGCTGATGGGGGGGCTGCCCGGCGCCGTGGCAGCGCGGCCGCCAGGTGGCAGGGCCGCCCCGCCCAGCGCGCCTCGGCGGCGGCACTGGGAGCACTGGTTTGGGGGCGCTGGCAGGCTGCGGAGGGGGTTCGCCGCTGCGGGTGGGGCGTGCGCGTCCTTGGCCGGCGTGGGGACAAGCCGAGGCGGCCGGGCCGGCGGGGGCGGCGGTGACAC